AGAGAGAGAGAAAGCCTTCTCCTGGAGCTGGCACCCTGAATTCAGACTTGTAGCCTACTAGACTGTGAAGGAATAAATTTCTCTTTGTTAAAGCCATCCACTTGTGGTAGTTGTTAAAGCAGCACTAGATGACTAAGACAGGGCCGGAAGGCTCTTTGTTGTGGGAGCTATCCTATGCATTGTGGGATGTTGAATAGCATCCTTGGTCCCCACTCACTAAATGCCAGTGGCACTTCTGTGACCCCAGACATGACAACCCAAAATGTCTCCAGATATTGTCAAATGTCCCCTTGGGGCAGAATCACTCGTGGTTGAGAACCACTGGCCTAGGTGACACTTACATGCCTCAGGTGACAGAGAGCTCACCACATCTAGGAACGGCCATCCATCTCGCTGCAGGGTCCAGTACTGGTTCTTCCCTTGGGGCCACAGAGCTGCTCCAGTCTATTCCCTATGACAGTTCCTCAGAGATTTCAAGAGAGCATCCATGCTCTCCTTTCACCCCTCCTTCAGAGAGCCCACAACTGGATATGTACAAATTTGAGTCTGGCGGCAGCGGGGTTTGGAGGCTAAAGGGCCCCAGCTGCCCATGAAGAAGCAAAGAACTTGGGGGGGCAATATGAGAGGCAGCCTCTGGCTCACCAATGCATCAGGGCACCTGCGGGTGCCCTCCCGGACACCTGGCCAGAGGCAGTCCAAACTCCTGGGGTTTTCTCCAGCGTGGACACTTCCCCATCAGGGGCCTAGGGCCGTCGTCTGGAACTCAGAATCAGACAGAGGCACCTTTTCATCCTTCTGTCATCAGCACCCTGGCTGACAACAATCACCACCTCACGCTGCCTGTTACTTCTTCAGACGCTTGAGAGCCGAATAGCGTCTGCTCCTCCAGGGCCATGGGCAGCAGCTTCTGGGAGCAGTGAGGGCTCCTAGCCACAGTGACAACACTATGGTCCATCTGAGGGTACTGATGAATGACGACCGTCTCTGCTTCAAGTCCTGAGAGCAGAAGGCACAGGACTGGCCAGGAGAGCCAAGGAGACACCAGGTGGCCTGGGGCAGGCCGGGGCTGGGCTGCCGGCAGGTTCAACCACAGTGGGCTAGACCTAAGGCCGAGAGGAACACCGGGCAGAGGCTGAAAGGGAACCTGGACCCCAGTCCAAGCCCAGGTCCCCGGCTGGAACTCAACAGACTCCTCACTGGAGCCATAATCTGAGGAACGGCTTGGGGACAAGAAGGGGCTGAGCACCATATGGGAATTTAGACCTAAAGCCCCTCACACAGTGAGGTGGGGCGCGCGGGCCAGGGCTGTGAGGAGGCAGGGCCAGCCCTCACCATCACTCAGGCTGACACCACTCAGTGTCACCTTGCTCACCTCCCACATTTTTAAGTGGATTAAAGATTAAGATAGGAAGGGCAGTGCAGTCGTTACAACTGTTAACTGCTAATGACATGAATAACCAGTTAGATAAAAAGCAGTGAATAAAAAACCTCCAGGCTAGGAGACTATCTGCAGTTGACTTCAGCTCAGCGAAGAGAGAAAGTCCAGATGTGTGCATGTCCATGTGGGCGGGGAATACACAGGGGTTAACAGGGACTACACTTTGGGTGGGATCTTGTTCATCCTCACCATTGTTTACAGTTTCCAAATTTTCCACAACGAGCATATAACTAATCTGAAAATGGAGTGGAGAGACAGGGTAAGTAGAAGAACCAAATCACAAAAAAGGCAAAGCAAAATGAGTATTTATTCCATCTCCAGGTTGCCGGGGGGGTCTCCATGTTTAACAGGAAAACACAGGCAGAAAAGTCACAGAGGAAAAGGTCAATCATTTGATTACTTTAAAAAGTGAAACCCATGACCACAGTTAGAAGGCAGACACACACGGCTGGAAACCCAAACGACCAGTGATCACAGGGAGAGAACAACGATCAAGGTCACGGATCAGTATAACCGGCCACCACTTTCACCTATTACTGGAGGGTTTTGTTTGTGTTTGTCTGTTTTATGCTTGCACTTCTACACTTGGTTGCTTCAGTTTTCAGTTTGACTCTCCTCAGGTAGCAAGTGCGCGGATAGAGAGGAGTACAAGGGAGGTGGTTTTGACAGTTGGGCACTGAAAGTACATCCTAAGAAAATAATTTGCAATACACAAAAACATGCTATTCCCAACGTGGTCCATCACAGCAGCATTTAGAGTATTGAAAAGTTAGCAATAACTTAGATTTCCAATAATTAACAGATGAAGTAAATTATGGTAAAACTACACAATAAAATAAAGTATCTTTACAAAAATCTATAACCACAGATAATACTTAAGTGATAGTCAAAAATAAAAGGATATAAAATTACACAATAGAGAACATAGTATGATCACAATAATGTAAAAAATTCACACCAAAAAAGAAAACCAGGTGATTATCTCAGGGTAAAACATTCACGCTTTTTTTTTTTTTTTTTACCTTTTACTACTTTTGTGTTTTCCAAATTTTCCATGATCAACACATCCATTTTATAATCAGGAAAAAAACACCCTTTTCCAAGTAAAGGTGAATACAGATTCTTTCACAACGCTCATTACATCCCACGATACAGTCTAGACAGAAAGTCACAAAAACCTCAGCCTCTTGGGGGTGGGGGGGCAGGAGCTGGGCTGTGAAAATGGTTATGAATGAATGAGTGAAGAGAGGAGGGGGGCGGAGCACCTAGGAACTGGGGGAGGGAGGGATCTGCAAGGGCAAGTAGGGACCAGTGGTGAGCTGGTCTCCGAGGAAAGGGGCATCGTGGGATAAAGGGAAGACTCGGACTGCTCTGCGGAGGTCGTCTAGACCCAGTAGTAGGCACTGACGGTGTTCTCAAAGGGAAAAATTAAAGAGGGATTCTAGGAAGACACATGGATTCCTTTGGGAACAAGGGAGGAAAGAGGAGGGGGAGGTAAACTACTCGGAGAGGAGGGGAGAGGGCTGGGGTGATGGCGATGGCAGTGGCAGTGGCAGTGAAGAGAAGAGGCCAGTTGCCAGAGTGACTCTCCCTACTCCGCAGTTACACAAAGCACACTTCACTCATCTCCAGACAAGACTCGGGGGCAAACACAGGGTAGAGAAACAGCTCAAGGAGGAACTTGCCAATAGCCAGGGGGATCCAGCTCAAAATCAATGCTAATCTAGGGCAACTCTGTTCAATAGCGCTTTCTGCCATGACGGAAACGTTCTACATCTTTGCTGTCCACATGCAAAAGAATGAAGCTGGACTCAAACCTCATACCATGTACAAAAAGTAACTCAAAATGGATCAATGACCTAAATATGAGAACTGAAAACCATACTAGAAGAAAACATAGGAGTAAACCTTAGTGACAGTGTATTAGGCAATTCAGATATGACACCAAAAGCAAGACTGACAAAAGAAAAAATTATATAAACTGGACTTCATCAGAATTAAAACTTTCATGCATCAAGGGACATTACGAAGAAAGTAAAAAGGCAACCTACAGAATAGGAGAAAATATTTGGAAACCATATATCACATAAGGTATAAAATTCAAGAACAAAAAAACAAACAACCCAATTTAAAAATGGGCGAAGGATTTGAACAGACATTTCGCAAAAGAAAATATACAAAGAGCAAACGAGCACGTGAAAAGATAGTCAACATCATGAGTTATCAGGGAAATGCCGATCAAAATCACAATGAAATACCACTTCGCACCCACTAGGATAGCTGTTATGAAGAAAACAGAAAATAACCAGGGCTGGCGAGGATGTGGAGAAATCGGAACCCTCATCCACTGCTGGAGGGGATGTAAAATGGTGCAGTTGCTGAGAAAAACAGTTTGGTGGTTCCTAAAAAAGTTAAACATAGAATTACCATATGACCCAGCAATTCTACTCCTAGGTATATACCCAAAACAACTGAAAGCAAGGAATCACACAGATACTTGTACACCAATGTTCACAGCAGCATTATTCACAACAGCCAAAGGGTAGAAAGTGCCAACACAGTGTGCTACTGCCCTAGAGAAAATGAAGTTCTGATACGTGCTATGACATGGATGGACCTTGAAAACATAAGCTAAGTGACAGAAAACAGACACAGAAGGACAACTACTGTATGAGACCACTTCTATGAAATATCTAGAACAGGCAAATCCATCAAGACAAAGGAGAGTTAGTGGTTACCAGAAGCTGGGGAGATAAGGCAATGTAGAGAAAATTTTTTTTTAATTTAAAGAGCCACATGTGCCTAGTGGCTCCTGTATCAGAGAACACACACTGAGGGCAGTGTTTCTCAAAGTGTGGTCCTGGACCAGCATCATCACCTTGGAGTCTGTAAGAAATGCAAATTCTCAGGTCCCACCCCAGATCCGCTGAGTCAGAACTTCTGCGGGCAGGTCCAGCACACTGGGTTCTAACAAGCCCCCCCAGGTGGTTCTGATGCACCCTAGTGTTTGTGAGCCACTGACCTAGGCCCATTCAGAATTTCTGGGATCACGCTGGTTTCAACGAAACCGAATGAACAAACTCTTGTTCAAACGAAATGGTGATTTCTACAAATAAAGTGACTAAAACCAAAAGCCAAACCCATCGCCGTCAAGTCAATTCCAACTCATGACTAGAGAGCCATTAATAAAATATGTTCAGCTCAGCAGGACTGAAGAAAGGTTACGTGAAGCAACAGATAAGGACTGTGGTAGCTTTGATGTCTAAACATCAGAAAGCAGCCGCTCATCCCAAAATACGTCAGACACAGACAAAAGGAAACAAAAAGCAGCTCTAACTTGGATTCCCTGTCAAGACCACAAAAAGCAACCACACTCAGAAGATGGTTTAGAAGAGCCACTGAACGGGCAATGCTGCCTTCGCTTCTAAAAGGAGAGATCTGGAAAGGCAGGCAAAAGAAAGGAAAACCCAAGGAGGGCTGAAGCATTCTGGGGCTACACCCTCATACAGCACTTCCAGTAGAAACAGACGGCCACGTGAGGGGCCCCATGTGGACCCTGGGGGTGGCTTCAGTCACACAGTGAACAAGAAGATGCAGCTGGAGGAAAGCATCCCTTCACTCTCTCCCAGCACAGCTCAGCTTACAACTTCATCAAGACCAGAATCTGGAGGGCTGTGACACTAAAACTATGCTTCCAGAAATCAAGCGAGAAAAAAACAGATGAAGTGTGCGTACTGGAGTCACCCAGGAGCAACAAACAACTGCGGAGGAAGAGACAAAGCTAAATACACTGAAAATATGTTGTGAGGAATTTACAGACTGAATCGTAAAAATCAAAGTGGAAGTGAGGAGAGCAGTAAACGGAATGTAGAATGACAAAGAAGAAACAGGGAAACTGTCTACGAAAGCCAAGGCTTCCAGAAGAGAGGCGAGCTTCAGGACCAGAAGGGATGAACCGGGCCCCTCGCTCAAGTAGAAAAGGCTGCTGCCGGACACGTAACTGCTCAAAGGGCCTTTTGTTACCACATGTGCCTCGACGGTGGGCTAACTAGTAAACAAAACAAAAACAGTATCTGTCTTTGAAACTTTACTGATTTGAAGTCATCTTTTAATATACTATCGTGCCCTTTTGGTTATAATTTAACCCACTACAGTCACAATGTCATTCACTATATTTGTTTCACAAACCTTACTGTGAAACACTGAAGCACTTGAAAGAAAAGATTTACTAAAAATGATTCTGATTTCAGTACAGGACTTCATTAGCTGTTATTTAAGAAGTGTGGCTAATTCCGCTTCCTAATCAGCTGCAACATGTTTGTAAATATTAGTTGTAAATAGTCCATCCCTTTTGTAAATGATGACAGAGTAAGCTCATTACTACCACCTGCCTTGCTGATTATTTTTTACATTTAGGGAAAACACAACTACATCCTGGGGTACTGAAAATTACCTAACGTTTCAATGATATCTAAAGGTATGGCATAATTTTAAGTTTAACTTAGCACTTATTCATTCAATTTTAAATTAATGAAGACTAAACTGAAAGGTTTGCCTGTAACAAACTCTTAGGCCAAATTGTTGGTGCGTATTTTGACTGCCCTCCTCTTGGGTTGTCTCCATTAGGGGTGATCATGAAATAACCAGCTCTAAGGCCTCGTTTCACCAACACATAACACCTGCCCTATGTGGCTAGCAAAATTCAAGGCATCCACAATGGGGGGAGTTCTCCACCTTGGGAGTCGTTATACACATTACGATCCTGTAATGGGTCTGAATCTACAAAATAGAGCTCCCCTGCATGGACGTCTGAAAAGTTAGCCAGAAACTCTTCAGGACTGAAGCCAACCCACACAGTATACCTATAGTCTACCGTACGGATAGAATAGCCCATGATCTTTATATCTTTTAAACTTGGCTTGTCAGAATTCCACTGAGGGGTGTCTGCAGGCCGAGGGTACTGGCTGTAGGCAATGGACTTACGGGGATTACCACGGAGGTCCGAGTCCTCCTCCAAGTCAGGGAGCTGAAAATGCTTCAGAAGGTTCTGGCCTTCTCTGCACAGCTCCACGTGAAAGGAGGGAACGGGACAGCGGGGTGGAACCTGCAGCCCCGCCAGTCCAGCGAGCGTGGGAAAGAGAGACACAAGTTCCACGACTTCCTCGGCTTGCCTGCCTGAAACAGGAAGCGACATTGCAGAATCCGTTACATTCCAGAAGCCTGCCACACAGCCAAGCAGGAGAGAACCAGCCTAGTTGGACTACACGTGTTTTCCCTTTTTCTTTGACAGCATTTCTTTTTGCCAAAGAATTTTTGAAGCAAGGCCAACTCAGCACCTCACCCTCCACTACCTACTCATCCAAAAACGGGATGCAAAATTAAGGTGGCCCCAGCCTGCTGGCACTTTTTTAAATGATTTTTAGTACAACTGGTGTAAAAACTGATTCGGGCAAGGATCATCAATGGATGCTAAAACCACTGGGAAAAGTCTGTTGGGGAACAAGATATTCTGAGTCCACAAACTATTCCTTTTTCTGGACTTCTGCATTTTATCCATCATTAAAATCTACATCCTGCGCTTGATGTTGATCCATGGTCAAACTGATCTTGCTTTTGGATCATCATTCTGGCCTTTCTGGATTTTTATCGGTTTGCTTATACTGACCGACTATATTTTCTAAACAGCTGATTTCTAAGTAAAGTAAAAAAATAAAATAAAATGAAAAAACTAAAAAAAAATATTTTTTTTAACAAAAAGGTACCTTTACAATGTCAAGAATCCAGCTGACACCATGTAACCAAGTTATCACTAACAATGGAACCAGCTGCCATGAAGTAGCCCCTGATGTGATGCATTATGGGAGGACACTAGGTCACAAATGGGACCCTGTACAAGACAACGGGACTTGACACTTCTAAGAAGATGAGGTCAGCGAGACGATGGGGTCCAGATCCTGTAAGGCCCTGGCAGCCACTGTAAGGACTTCGCCTCAGTGAGATGGGGGAGCCACTGGAGGCTCCAGAGCAGGGCCGTGACTTGGGCTTTCCACGGATCACTTTGGCTGCTGTGAGGAGGCAACACTCTAGGGGAGCAAGGGCACAGCAAGGAGACTCTGTAGCAAGCTATATGCCAGGGAGAGGTGGTGCCAGCCTTGTCCAAGGCATGTCAGTGGAGGCGGCAAGAGTGGTCAGATTATGCCAAGTTCCATGGTGACACTCTGTACTCTACACTTAAGCCAAGCATACTTCGCTCACCTCTGGACAAATCTCTAAATAGCTCACAGGAGGAACCTGCCAACAGTCAGGTGGATCCAGCTCAAAATCAGCAATAATCCAGGGCAACTCTGTTCAATGGAGCTTTCTGCCACAACGGAAATGTTCTACATCTGTGCCGTCTACTATGGTAGCCACTAGCCACATGTGGCGAATGAGCACTTAAACTGTGGCAAGTGTGACTGACATCTGCTCTTTAAACTTTTAATCACTGAAATTTAAATTTGTCTCTTCAACAAATGGTGCTGGAACAACTGGATCTCCACATGCTGGACCCCTATCTTACACCATATATGAAAATCACCCCCAAATGGATGAAGGACTTAAACGTAAGAGCTAAAACCATAAATATCTTCAAAGAAAATATAGGAATAAGCCTTAATGACACTGGGTTAGGCAATGGTTTTTTCAGATATGACACCAATAGTACAAGCAACAAGAGAAAAAATAAACAAACGGAACCTCATCAAAATGACGCTGGGCCAGAGGGCGGACTGTGTGACACCCTGGCTTATGATTCAATTGTTGTCGTTGTTGTGTGCTGTCAAGTCAATTCTGACTCACACCAATGCTATAGGACAGAGTAGAACTGCCCCATAGGGTTTCCAAGGCTGTAATCTTTACAGAAGCAGACTGCCACATCTTTCTGCCAGAGTGGATGGTGGACTCAAATCACCGACCTTCTCATTAGCAGCCAAGCACTCAAGCAATGTATTTCACTCTAGCATATTTTATACCTGGCTCCATCAATTCTGAGATGGAATCAAAAGGGTCGATGTAAGGAAAAAGCTTTTCGCCTGCCTCTGGAAGCAAAGCCGTCCTTCCGGGAACATAGAACATCAGGGGCACGCGAGTAGTGACATCAAAGTTGCTGTATTTGGCCCATTCTCCATGCTCACCAAGAGACCACCCTGGTTCAGAAAAAGCACAGAGAGACAGAAAATGAATAATCCCCTCACAGCTTGTGCACGTTAGACGCCATTTCACTTCCTGCTGGAAAAACCAGAGGAAGGGAGAACTCGTCGCCCAGAAGAAACTCCTCTAAAAATCATCACAAAAAGGGCAACTTCACCTGAATACTACTTTATTCAGACATTTGTTGTCACGGACGAAAGCTCTGGAAGAAAAACAAATTAAATTCCAGAACTAAACTATCCTCTTTTAATAAGCAATTAGCACTATGCACCCACCTTGGGCTCCAGGGGACGCATGGGCCCCACACAGGCACCCCTCCCCTGCTAAGACTGGCTCATTGTTGACTGAGTGGGGACCCCTGAAGCCACAGTGCCACCACTACCCTGTCCTGTCTCTTCACTTCTTTCCAACAGGCTCAGGTTTTTACCTTTGGATGCACACCACCAAAAAGTGAGCTTGGAGACCTCAGCACCATAGCTCACATTCAAAAAAGACAAGGACATCTTGCTCAATTTTTAAGATATACCATACCCAAAAGCCAAACCTGTTGCTGTTGAGTCGATTCCAACTCACAGATGTACCAGATAGAAAAATATAACTTGTGATCCCAGATCCTTAACCCTAATTTGACACATCTGTTTTAAAACTCTCTTGACTACTCCAAGTTGTATATTCCCACTTTTTACATTTGATATAAAAAAGCTGCACAGACACAAGATTATAGATTTAGTATTTAGTATTCCAAAAAAAGACAAAGAAGCTGTTATGGATTCAAGAAGAGTTTTAAACAAATGTGTATTTTACTCATGACAACCACATCTGCTGACATGTGAAACAGGATGGTGCGTTTTATAGCAAGTTACCCGCCGTCTGTCAGTGTGTCCTACTGTGGTGGCTTGTGTGTTGCTGTGATGCTGGAAGCCATGCCAGCAGTATTTCAAACACCAGCAGGGTCACCCACGCTGGAGAGATTTCAGAGGAGTCTCCAGGCTAAGACAGACTAGGAGGACAGGCCTGGTGATCTACTTCCAAAAATTAGCCAGGGACAGTCCTATGGATCAAAACAGAACATTGTCTGATATAATGCTGGAAGATGAGTCCCCTAGGTTGGAAGGCACTTAAAATAAGTACACACATAAACCCACTGCCATCGAGTCGACTGCAACTCACAGTGACCCTATAGGACGGAGTAGAACTGCCCCATAGAGTTTCCAAGGAGTGGCTGGTGGATCCGAACTGTCAACTCTTTGCTTAACAGCCGAGTTCTTAACCACTACACCAAGGCTCCAAATAGTACCAGTGGTCGCAAAAATAGACTTGAGCATACCAACAACAGTGAGTATGGCGCAGGACCAGGCAACGTTTTGGTCTGTTGTACATAAGGCTGCCATGAGTCGGAGCTGACTCAACAGCAACTCTGATCCCCAGAACAGGGCTGGAACCTCTTCTGAGTCAACAGTGCTCTCCTGAGAAGACCACAGCGGAAAGGGACCTCTTACCGATCCGTAATCAAGCAAGGCAGGCCCCTAACTGTCAAAGAAAAATTGTACCGGGCAATGTTAAAACAGGCAAGGATGACTTTCACTGAAAAGGAAGTTGTGCGAGAGGGGACAGGAATAAGGTCAGGGAAGGAGACCAGTGCAGGGGGGAGGGAGACACACCAGACCTGTGTCTGAAGTCCACTCTGCTGAGGTCCAGGACTTCGAGCGTTCTAGAGAAGAGTTCAGGGGAGCTGGTGAGTGGTGTACGAAGTTGTAATTAGGGCCAGTTAGCTCAGGATGTTTTCCTTTTTTATAAGGTCACCTGGGTCCTGGGAGACCCAGGAGAAAGGAGAAGGAGATGAGGAAGGGAAAACTAAAGTTATTCACACAGTAAACCATTCAGAATTGGTCAGTTCCTTGCAGTAAGCCCTGTCATTTTTTAGAACATAAGACAGTGGGAGAATTTCTCTAACAAAAGGCTTGGGTAAAATTCCACTTGATAGTACCCATATCCGCTCCATGTTTCTGGCAGAGAGCTTCCCCACTGTGGCCCCAGTGCTGGGGAATTAGGGAGGATCTTCACGTAATTTGGACAAACTCAGTTCCATTTTTGGAAAAAGAAGGATACAGCCTTAGAAAAGACCAAGAGTTGAGAACTCCAGGCTCTTGGCAGAGAGGGCAGCAGGGATGGGGGTGGGAAGGGTGGGGCCAGGTCTGAGGGCCCTGCCTGGATTGTTCTGGATCTTCTGGGAAAGAATCAAACATCCTCCAACCCTTTATCCTAGAAGTGGGGGTTAGAAGAGCTCCAGACACATATGGAGGGTCCCTGCTGAGTTCGCCAAGGAAAAAATAGTTGCTACAGTTCCCCACCAGCCACCCACCTCTACCACCCAAGCATCCAAGATAGGCCTCTGACCCAAAAGAGGCCCTGCCTCCATCTAGAGGCCCCAGGCCACAAGCTGATCCTGGGCAGCACTGACTCACAAACAAGAACATGCCTCTGTTTAAGGCAATTTGAGAAACAGCACATTTCACTGCAAAATTTGGATACTTTGAATGACTGCCAGGGCATTCCAAAGGCTCACCATGATCGGATGTAAATGCAATGATCGTGCTGCTGGCCAGGTGAAGATCATCCAAAGCACTCAAAAGGTGGCCGACCTGCGTATCCAAATACGAGACGGAGGCAAAGTAGCTCTGGCGGATTTTCCGCTGCAAATTTAAAAACAATAAACAATGAGAGTGGCTACAATTTCAATCACCGTGGCGTACCCTGTTCAATCACCGTGGCGTACCCAGGGTATATTCTCCTGAACGTCCCTCTCGATCAGCCAAAATGCAGCACGCATTTCCCTCCCATCTATGTCCCCTCATGTGCCCGTACAGTCACAGCAAAACCTGCAGGTCCAAAGACAGATTCCTTTCTAAGCTAATCAGCATTCACTTTGGGGTGCAGATCCAAATGGGTGCACGTGCCACTTGATGTCCCTCTCTCTCCCTCACATATTCTTACGGGTCCCAGAAAATGGATACACATGCAGACACTGATCCCCCAGCACCCCCTAAACACTGGCCCATGCATGCTCTGATGTGGGTTGACCCGGAGGGACCAACAGGGCCCTCGTTGGGCCTTTCCTCTGACTTCTTCCTAACCCAGCACATGACGGCGACGGCTGGTTGTCACAGAGTGCGTGTGGCACATTTTTAACAAACTCCCAACAAGCAGAAGAGCAATGGAGGGACAAGAGAGCAACGCAGGCTTTACATCCCTGGACCCAACAGGGACCTCGGGAGCAGTCAGGCTGATGTGGGTTGAACTGTGTTCCCCAAAAAGATATGTTCAAGTGCTCACCACTGGTACCTTGTTTGGAAACAGGATCTTTGCTGATGTAATCGAGGTAAGATGAAGGTATAATGGATTAGGGTGGGCCCTAATTCAATGACTGGTGTCCTTCTAAGGAGAGAGAATTTGGACACAGAGACACACAGGAAGAACGCCATGTGACAATGGAGGCAGAGATTGGCATAACACGTGTACAAGCCAAGAAATGCCAAGGATTACCAGCAACTACCAGAAGCTAGGAAAGAGGCAAGAAGAATCCTTCAGAGAGAGCATGGCCTGCTGACACCTGGAATTCGGACTTCCGGCCTCCAAATTGAGAGAGAATAAATTTCTGTCATTTTCAAGCCACCCACTCCGTGGTACTGTTATGGTGGCCACAGGAACCGAACACAAGGTTATGTGCTGGCGCCACCAGCCTTGTTCACAAATGATCAGGAAGGAGATTAACCCTCCAAGAGCGAGGGGCAAAAGAGCTGCTGACCCGTCTGCCCAGCCCCAGCTTCCACCACATGCCCAACCCCTGCAGTATCAGCTGGCCCCACTCGCAGGTCCTCATCACCACCAGGGTGAGGGCGATCACAAGGCCCACCCACTCTCTGCACGGGGCAATGAAGAAAACAGATATCCAGCTAACCTTCCAGATTTCTGGTGAACCCTGATCTACTTAGACTTTTGATAGTCTTCAGTCTGTAACATGGGGAACAATGGTCCTCCTGGGGACCAAAGACATCTTCAAGGATGACTGTGTCCTATTCAAGAGTTCTCACTCCTTCCTGTGCTGGGCCCTGGAGGAGGACACAGGCATGGAGACAAGAAAAGGGAGGCATCATTGGTGGGGGCCAGGGACGACCCAGGAGAATGAGCCCTGGGGAAATCAGGGAAGGCTTCACAGAAGAGGAGAATTAGAGAAGAGGCCTGAAGGGTGGTAGGAGTTTCAAGTAAGACAATACAGGTAGGACACTTTAAGCAGGGCTGTGGCACATGGAACCGTGTAAAGTTCCACAGAGCAGGCGTGTCTGGGGCTGGTGGGCAGGCTGGTGAGGCTGGAGAACGTGATGGGAGGGGAGGGGTGGGGGAGCGCGCCGGGAAGGCAGGCCATCCCAGGGCTGGAGGCCAAGGCTATCACTGAGTCTCTCAAGGTTTCGGAGCAGACGCCATCAGGCCACAGGTTAGTAAGCAGCTCTGGCTGCAGACAAAATGGGCCCGATCAGGCTGGGCTTGTCATGGGTGCTCAACAGACAGGTGGTGAATGAATGGACCAAAGAAAGACCCACCCAGTGGTCCAGAGAGATGGGCTGAGGGATGAAGAGGACCCTGCTGACCGGGGAGGAATTTAGGGAGACCCAGTAGGAGCGGGGGCAGGGGGAGGTGAATGAGGAGGATGAATGAAGAATCCAAGGGTGGACTCCAGGTGTCCCATTCAGCTGGTGTGCGATTTACTGCATGGGGCGGGGGGGACACAAGAGAACCAGGAGGAGGAGGGAGAAAAAGGAGGGGAGGAGGGGAGGCAGGTCTCTGCGGGCACCGCCTGGGGATGGCCCTGGCAGGCAGGTGGACACGCAGGTCTGAAAATCAGGAATGACGCCTGGGCTGGAGGGAAAGTTCCGGTGGTCATCTGCCAGCAGGGCTTAGATGAGCTGGACCAGGGAGAAGGGCAGAAAGGGCACAATGGGGGCCTGGGACTGACTGTGGGGGCAGTTGCTTCTTAAGCCATGAAGACTGGGAGTGGAGGAGGCTCAGGCAGGCTGGCAAGGAAGCCCGGGAAGCAGACAATGCTAGAAGGGCAGGGCTGGGCAACAGCGAGAAAGCGGCGCAAAGCTCAGGAAAGCCAGACCCAGGAGGATCAATTTTATTTGTCAACAAAGTTTATGCTGACTTGGGTGAGAGGACGCTTAGTGGGTGGCAAGGCAGAAGCTGGAGAAGAGGAGGGTGAAGGGGAATGGACCAGGAGAGAAGACAGCAGGGCAGACGAGGGTGGACATGGGAAACGAGAACCAGGAAGGGGCAAGGAGGGAAAGAGGGACGCCACAGGAGGACCTGGCCACAAGCAAAGGCAGAAACTAGAAGGGAGGCTCATGGAAGGAATCCACATGGCTGAGACCCTGATTTGGACCTTTAGCCTCCAGAACTGTGAGATAAATAATTTGTTTTTGAAAGTCACCACTTGTGAGCTGCTGTGTTACAGCCACCCTGGGACACTAAGTCAGTGGCTGACCAGTCAACATGAGGATTCTCAATTCGTGGCTGCCCCACCCCCACGTCATAGTGAAGGGACATGAGACGTCACAGCTGGCTGGGCACCAAGACCCCGCTCACCAAACCGCCTCTGAGAGTGACGGGCTCCCATGCAGACTTCCCACAGAGGGGACCCCCCAAGAACCGGCAAACCCTGCATTCCGGTCTGCAAGGAAGTCGCCCACGCCCTAGGCTGATGACCTGTCACTGTCACCTGGAATATACATCCCTATCGCCATGCCCACATCTACTAAGTCACCAAACTCTGGATGCTCCCCTCTTTGGAAGCTGAGACTGGTGGGGACACTCTCGAGCCACCAACACTGCCTGTGTCCCAGATACCTACAGGACCCACCCCGGACCTTGCACCACGCCTGCACGGAGAAGGTTCTCTGTAAGACATTACAGAGCAGTGGCTGCCGAGAAGAGGTGCTTCACTGACGACACCACATCATCAGTGCCCGACGCTTCCCCAAAGTGTGTCCTCGGTACCTGAAAGTCCGCAGGAATGGGGTCATAGGGCACACTGACATTCAAGGCTTGCACGTCCTCCCGCTGCCTGACGTCCATCCAGGGGTTGTAGGCCACAGGGGGGAGGCCAGCAGGCACCTGGGGGTCGGGGGCCAGGGTGATGTTCTCCAAGGGATACAGCTTCTGAAACTCCTTGGGGAGAGCACACAAAGGCACAGGCTGTCACTCTCAGTGTGCGCTGCCTTTTCTGGAAGCCTGTGATGCATTTACACAGCGGCTCACTAACACTCCCCACCTGAAAGCCAGGCCTGCAGTCACCCTCACGAGGCGCCAATGGCAATGAACTCATGCAATTCTGTCTCCACGAACAGAGCACTGGCAGCTCTCTCCCCTCATACAAACACTGCCCTCCTGCCCCGGTCCCCACCTGCCCCCAACTAGCAGAGGTGTGGAGAGGTTTGCTGGGGGTCCCCAGGACTACCTCAGCAGTGGTAACTCACTAGGAGGACTCACAGGGCTCAGCACAAGTCGTCCTCACAGCTCTGATGCGTTACAGAGCTGAAGCACCATCAGCAAAGGGGAAAGGTGCCAGGGTGGAGTCTGGGAGACACCAGGCCCAAGCCTCCAGAGTCCGCCCCCACCGGAGGCACACAGGGTATGACCGCACGTGTGCATGTCATCCACCAGGGATTTTACTGGGGACTGGTCACGTCAGCACCCAGCAGGAAAGGAGGAGCTCAGCAGGAGCCGCACTGCCTGATGAAAAATCTAGACTCAAAGAGCCACTCTTAACGAGTTCCCGAAACCAGCCTTGTAAGCCCTTTCCAAGGAGAGCAGTTGGGCCTCTTCAGTGAACTCTTCCCTGCACGGGAGGCAGGAGGGGTGAGCCACACAGGCTTCTGTCAAGGGGGCTGGCAGCTCCTGCCAGAAAAGCGTCAGCCTTTGGGCCAAACAAAGCAAAATACTTGCAGCTTCGGAGGCCATCCTCTGCGGTGTCTATTTGCATTACAAATGAGGGGCATCCTTCATGAAGTCAGAGGATGGGCTACTCAGGCCCCAGGGAAAGCACGATAGAGAAAAATTGAGAAACGTTCTGGAAAGGAAAAGGCTACGTACTCTAGATGACATGCCCCGAGTTGAAGGGGTCTGACCTGACAGGGCTGGGGGAAAGGCAGCTGTTGAAGACGGCTTCCTGACCCCTGAACTGTTTCCCAGGACCCATCCCTTATTGCAAGTTTTGGCCACCAGCTCTAACTCATGTCCCATGGTGATCTCACCATCCAACCCAACATTTGTTCACTGAGTTCAAGGTAAGGAAAGAAGAATGTTCCTGGTGGAAAGCCAAGTGTTTCTGACAGAATTTTACATGTCCTAGGACACTTCTTGGCCCTGAGCTCTGAATCAAATCTTCACTCCACTGGGACAATAGTGCCCACTGGGCATCCCTGGAGACTGCGGACAGCAAGATGGGGCCACCCTCAGTACACAACCCTCCCTCAACAAACACTGTTATAACAGTTGTACTGGATCAACGCTCAGCCAGCAATTCACCTTAGGGTATCTGAACGGGATGTGTGGCTTATGGTACCCAACAGCCAGGAAGAAAGGCCTGGCCGACATTTTCATCTTTTCCAACAAATAGATGGCTCGCTCGGTGCTCTGTTTGTCAGGCAACGTGCCCTCAGGCACATCCGCCACATCCACGGGACAAACCAGGTTGGCATGGAGTTCTCCGTCTTGCCCCCTACAGGTCTTTCAAAACAAAATATATCAAGTCAGCTCTGTTGTACAACAAGCAGAAGGCATGTAGGCTGCACCCAAGGATTTAACGTTTGCACTGCCAGCCCACTGAGTGCCAGTCACTCAGACTGGACAGGCAGATCAGAAGTAGAACTACAACAAAACCATTTCTTATTTCCGGAGAGAGGCCATTAATCCACCCGCACTTTGCTTCTTGCGGTTAATTCTCTGTCTCCAGGTCATAACTAATTAAAAGAAACCCAAGTAAACTAATTATCAAAAATAAAGCTGCCTACAATTTAACTATAAAAAGGCAAATAAGCTAACTAAAAAATGGGCAAAGGAGCTCAACAGACGTTTCTTCAAACAAGATATAAAAATGGCCAAAAGCACATGAAAAGATGCTTAACATCAACAGCCATCAGGAAAATGCAAACCGAGACCACAATGAGATACCACGTCACAGTCACTAGGATGGCTACCAAAAAAAAAAAAAAAAGGACAATAACAAGTGTTGGCAAGAAGGTGGAGAAATCAGAACCCTCGTCCATTGCTGGTGGGGATGTAAAGTGGAGCAGCTATGGTGGAAAACACTCTGGTGGTTCCTCAAAAAGTAAAACAGAGTAACCACGTGACCCAGCAATTCCACTCCTAGGTATTTACTCTAGAGAAATAAAACCGTATGTCCACACAAAAACTGGTACACAAATGTTCCCAGCAGCACTATTTACAACAGCCAAAAGGTAGAAACAACCTAAATGTCCACCAACAGATGAACGGATAAACAAAATGTGGTCCGTACACACAATGGACTACCACTCAGCCAGAAAGAGAAATGAAGGTCTCATAGTGCTGCGACGCGATGAGCCTTGAAACCGTTATGCTGATGAAACAGTCAGATACAAAAGGTCAGATGTCTGATTCCACTGATACGAAATGTCCAGAACAGGCAAATCCATAGAGACAGAAAGGAGATTAGTGGTTTTCAGGGACTAGGGAAGGGGGACGAGTTGGCAGTGACAGCTAACGGGTACTGCGATGCAATGGTTAAAAGCTATGGCTGTTTACCAAAAGGTCAGCAGTTCGAATCCACCAGTCGCTCCTCAGAAATCCTATGGGGCAGTTCTAGTCTGTCCTACAGGGTTGCTATGAGTCGGAATCGACTCGACAGCCATGGGTTTAGTTTTTTTTGGTTATGGGAATTCTTTTGAGGTGCTGAAAGTGTTCTAAACGATGTGATGCTGGTACAGACTTCTGAATGTACTAAAAACCATTGAACTGTACACTTAAAATGAATAAACTTTATGGTATGTGAATTATAGCTCAATTCTAAAAAATTGGGGGAAAAAAATCTGTCTCCAATTTCAGTGACAGCCTAAAGTTTGTAAGTGACAGGGTCCCAGCCAACTGGAGAAGGTGACCTTACCATCCATGGACTTTCTGGCTCCTCAGGTATACCTCACACAGAATGGAACCTACTGCTTCGTGTCTCAAAGTAGCCACGCTGGCCACAAGGTCATGGTAAGGTTCGACTATGGCTTCGCCATCATGAAGCCCAGGGCCGGTGGCAGCGGCTGCTCCCTCTCCAGGAGAGCACCATTTCACAGCCCTGCCTTGCCCACCCTGCCCCCAACAGGACACCACACTGCAGACCACCTGCTCACCCTCTGCCTGCCCACGATGGGCCACACTGAACGGGGATTTGGTACAGTCAGATCCCCTGCTTTGAGAAGGGGGTGGGAGCAGGGCCCGGCGCTACTAAGGGAGATCACTAAAAAGTAGCCAGAAGGCATCTGGGAATTGAGGGATGGAGATGGGGCCTTTGATCTCATTCTGTTCCAACCCAGGTCACAAAGCAAAGGCCATGGCCTCAGCTTTCACAGTATTCTGAAGGGGAAAGCTGTCAAGAATGGAGAATAATACTCCCCACCCCTGAGCACCCTCCCCCAAAAAAATACATCCTCACCCTTCCCCACAGTGTTTCCAAAAACCTCCAGGAACATGTCACGTCTCAGTTCTCCAGCTGATTTTTCTGAGTTCCTTAAATGTGGGTTTTAGTTTCACTTATACACCAGGGTCCTCTGAACCGAGGGTAAGTTTCCACAGTGCTCTAGAACTGTAAAATCGCCACCAGAGGCCTCAGCACCTGAACGTATCCATTAGGTCCTGGGCAGACAGACAGCATGCCTTTCTTCTGATCTGGGCCGAGGCTCCCGGGGTCCAGGTCTCTCTTCTCTCTCCTACAACCCCCAGCACAGAGCCTTATCCACGGTGAGCACCAAGGAGCCATTAAATGAATCTTAAGACATTAGAGTTGAAGGTTCTAGAACAAGGAGTACTCACCCGCCTCTAGAACAAAGCCACCTCTCCACTGGGCCTGATACTAAAGAGCCCAACACTTGGCTCTGTCGAGACATTACTCACAAAGGAAACTCGCACACCTCACTGTGTGACAGCTGGAAAAAGTATGCCACATCCCCAGACTCAGCCTTCATTTGCTGGATGAGAAGTGAGTGTCTTTACAGCCTTACCTTGGTGTTTTCGTACTTCTCGGAGGAGGGATGGTAAGGTGGAATGGACCAGCTATACGGAGAATCATCACTGTGGTTGGAAGATATTCCTTGAGGGAAAACAAAGAAAGCCCTTCAATAAAACACGAAGGGTCTTTCAATGCCTTCCTCCCCACCCAAAAGCTAACACTTTGTAAACAACTGGGCCTCAGTGTTCTCATCTATAAAATCAAGAGCTTAGGCCAGATGACAAGAAGTCCCCACCAAAGCTAACTCTCTAGGTTTCAAGCTGAGTAATTAGCATCTGACCTCCCAGCCCCTAAAGCCCACACAATTTGTGTTAGGCTCTGTGGAAGGGACTCAAAAGGGCAAGGCCAGCCAGCCCGTTTGTTATGGATTGAATTGTATCCCCCAAAAAGATATGTTCAAGTTCTCACCCCTGCACCTGTGAATGTGGCCCTGATTGGAAACAGGGCCTGGCAGATGTAATTAGTTAACCTGACTGGAAACAGAGCCTTGCAGATGTAATTAGTTAAAACGAGGCCAGATCGGAGTAGGTGAGTCCTACTCCAATATGACTGGTATCCTTACAAGAAAAGAAGAGACACAAAGACACAGTGAAGACAGCCACGTGAAGACGGAGGCAGAGACTGGGTTATGGTGTCACAAGCCAACGAACCCCTGGGGCTACCAGAAGCTGGAAGAGGCAAGGATCTTCCCCTTGAGCCTTCAGAGGGAGCATGGCCCTGCTGACACCGTGAACTCGGACTTCTGGCCTCCAGAACTGGGAGAGACTAAATTTCTGTTGTTTTAAGCCAGAAGCCCTGGATGATACAAATGGTTAATGCACTTGGCTGCTAACTGAAAGGCTGGTGGTTTGAGTCCACCCAGAGGTGCCTCAGAAGAAAGGCCTGGAGATCTACTTCTGAAAAATCAGCCACTGAAAACCCTATGGAGCACAGTGCTTCTCCCACACAGGGGGTCGCCATGAGTCGGAACTGCCTGAACAGCAACTGGTTTTTTGTTTGTGGAAGTCACCCACTTTGTGGTAATTTGTTACAGCAGCGCAGCCTTTCAGAGTCCACACTGGAGCTGTCCCGGACTTGCTGTCACTGGATCCTCCCCCCACCCTACGAAGGAGACAGCAGAGGCACGGGCACCACCATCTGACAAGCGAGGGCACGGAGGCTCAAAGAAGGTCACTGGCCTTGCACAGTGCCAGCCAGATTTTAGGCAAGTGAGCAGGGCTCCAAGCCAGGCCTCAGCACTCCCAGTTTACTGCTCCTTCAAGCAGCAGAAACCTAGTCCTAAGCTTAGCAGTCTAAAGTCTACTCAGGCAGTCAAAACACCAACAGGTGAAACCAAAGACCGACTGGCAGCTGTCAAGAACAGGAACACCATGTGAGGGCGGGAGGTCCCAAGCACACAGGTGCATGGGCCAGGGAGGGCAGACAGGGAAGCCTTCTAGGGGTCTGTGGGGCTTTGGAGGAATCTGAAGGAAGCGCTGCCCCGAGGATTAGCCAGGAGGGGCCGAGAGAGCACAGGCAGAGCCACGGGAGAAAGGGCATCGCCAACAGACTTACACTGGGCTCCACTGGGGAGCACCAGTAGAGGCAGGCCCGGGGGAAGCTGGGGGCGCTGGGTCACAGCAGAGTGCAAAGAGCACACCGGGGGCTGGCAGACCTGGGTTCCAATCCTGGCACTGCCCCATAGCACATGAGCAACCTTGGGCAAGCTACTTGACCTCTCTGAGCCTCCAATTCCTGCTTGGGAAATGATGACACTGGTGAGAGGCGGCAAGGAGTGGCCAGCACAGCCACTGGCATGTACCTGGCACTCAGTGGTGGCTGCTGTCACCCTTGAGCAGGCCCATGCCTGACAGCAAAAGATCCTGAGAACAAAGACCAGTCGAAAATTGTTTCCATGAGGATGGCAGGAAAAGGCTTGTTCTCTGGCTAGGATGTGAGGTTTAGTGCCTGACTCAGAGATCAAATCCTCAGGAAGGAGGAGGCCAGGCAACAGCTGTACTTCCTCTTCACTCCAAGCTCACCACTTCCCTCCAGCTGTGCTCAGGCAAGCAAAAGGTGTCATGACGTGAATACCAAACTGCAGAAAGTTCTACTCGTGTTGGGCTTTCGGCTGCAGCACCTAAATACTGGACAGATTCACCTTCCAAGCCGGCCTGACTTAGCCCATCTGAGCACTGCCCTCAACCTGGGCTGGCCAGCTGGGTTCCGGAAGGCTGCTGAGCCTGTTGGCATAACCAGTGAGCAAAGGCAAGGTCCCGGAACTTTCAAGTTGTCGCCCCTATTAATAAGCACTGCCATCTGTACGGCACCGTTTTCAGCGTGCTCTCACATCATTCCCTACCTGGATCTGGATGCTTCCCTGTGAGGTAATCAGGGCAGCCATCACTCCAGCTTCACAGACAAGCAATCTGAGGCTCAAAGAGGACAAATGATTTGTCCAGGGTCAACTGCACAGCTCAGAAGTGGCAGAGCTGGGACTCGAACCCAGGTCCCAGATTCCTGGTGCCACTGCCCATCAGCAGTTCCCTCTGCTTCCAGAGACGTTCATGCCAGCGGTATGTATGCAGCAAGAAACTGAGAACAAAGTTCAACGGTGGACTACACTGAGGTGTGTCTGCATGTTAGACAACCACCTGTCATGAGACATGACTTTTTACAGCTGTGGAAATTTGGCAGTTCCTCAAAGCGTTAAACATAGAATGACTATAAGACCCAGCGATTTCACTCCTAAGTAGAAAATAGATATACCCCAAAAGGTATATATCCCAGACTTGAAAGCAGGGACTCAAACAGATATATACACGCCAATGTTCACTGCAGCACTATTCATAATAGCCAAGAAATAGAAACGACCCAAGTAGCCATCAACAGATGACTGGACAAACAAAATGTGGCACACACACAATAGGGTATTATTCAGCCATACAAAGGAATGAACTTGTGATACACACTACAGCACGAGTGAACCTTGAAAACATATGCTGAATAAAATAAGCCAGACAAGGACAAACACTGAATGACTTCACTTATGTGAAATGTCTAGAGTAAGCAAATGCATAGACAAAAGAGATGCAGTGGTTACCAATTAATGTCACTGAGCTGCAGACGTAAAAATGGCTTAAACTGCAAATGTTCCGTTATATGTACTTCCTTCACCACCACAAAATTTTTTTAAATGACTCTTTATGAAGTATAACTCTACAGGAGCATTTTTATGTTTTAGAAAATTCCAGGCTGTAAAACTGCATATATAGGATGATCTCAAACCAGAAAAATAATTGCACACAACAGGGCTGCTCAAAATGCAGCTCTCCTCAGGGCAGTGAGATTACAAGTGGTTTAGATCCTTTAACTGACACTTTTCCTGTCTTCCCAATTTTTTGGCAATGAACATGCACTACTTTTATAAACAGAAAAAATGTCCATGAGTTGGTCTGTGCTTCAGCATTGCCATGGTGCCATGAAATGGAGCCAGTTTCTCAGGGAGGGTCAAGGTCAGGCAAACTAAAGGCCCTGGGGGCCAGCTTACACTCCTCTCTCTGACCGAATCCACATGGTGGGCAACAAGTCAGCTCAGCAGCCCCGGCCATGTGGGAGGCCCTCCAATGTTCTTGCCAGACCCCTCAGTTTCCTGACAGACCCTGAGGTGCAGACAGTCAAGGGCAAAGCTAGGCTGGCACTCCACCCTCCCACCTCCCCGCCCAGTGTGCTTCCTACCACCTGAGGCTCTGAAGCAACCAAACAGTTCCACAGCCAGTTTCTGAGGGAAGAAGGACTCCTACGCTTTTTCACTTCTGGTGAGAACATGAAGCCACGCTGAGAAGTGATCTTTAAAAAAAGGCAGCAGTGGCTAATGAGGTGCCCACCCAGCTGGAAGAGGCCCTCTGCAAAGACACCTCAACCCCAAAAAGCAAGCCCAAAATTTGGACAGCAAGGCGTACCAGGGTGAAAGACTTTTCCAACCGACATGGTCACATAGCCATTCTCCTTGAAGTACTGGGGGATAGTGGAGAAGTTTCCAGCATGCACCCTCCAGTAGGAGTTGAAGTCATAGAGGCGGGTAGTGTCGGGCCTCCTCCCAGTGAGGAAGGACACGCGACTCGGGGCGCACACTGCTTGCTGGTAGGGAACAGAAGCAAAGTTAATCATCCTCAGAGAAAAACAGACTTGTCGTCTAGAAGGTAACCGAGCAACCTCCTGAAGGCCTCAGTCAACAGTTTAGAGGCTGAGTCATGCAGCTCTCAAAGCCAATCAGTGGGATTTGGGCCTCACTCAGTTGCCAGAGCTAAGTCTTCCCAGAAGAGAAAGGGAGGAAATCAGCCCCCACAAACCAGCAGATAATTGTATGTGACAGCATCTCACAGGCCCACAGAGCAGACACCGTCCTGGGAGCAGCCCTGTGAGGGACTCAGGGAGGAACACCCCATGGCACTCGCCCAAAGGTGGCAATCTGCGGCACCTTCCTCCTGAGCCCCGGGCAGTCACCTCTTAGGAAGACAGCTGGCTAGGACTGTCCTGAGCACGAGGGCCAGAGTGCATCCTCCAAGGAGGGGGCACCTCTGCGCACACAAGCTTCCTTGTGAGCAGCCAAGTGGATTTTCTCAGCCGCCATTACTGTGATTCCCTCTAACCCCAAGATGCCTGGCACCATCGGTGCCATCTAACGATAGTGAAGGGACCCCACGAGGCACACCCCCAGGCCTAGGGGTCCCCAGACATACCTGGGCAAAGGCATTCTGGAAGAGGATGCTGCGGGATGCCAGCTGGTCGATGTTTGGAGACCTCACGAGCTTGTCCTCGTAACAGCCCAGGGTGGGGCGCAAGTCGTCCACAACAATGAGAAGGACGTTCAGCGCATCTGCTTGGGAGGGAGGGAGAGAAGGAGGGAGGGAGGGAGAGAGGACAGGCTTCAGTGAGATCAACCGTGCTGACACTGAACCCCCATTCCCATGGTAGGTGCCTGAGGTACTGAGAACCCCAAGGCGGGCCTCTGCACCTCACCAGCCCAGCCAGTGCCCACACTGGGCCTGCAAGGCATGGGCAGGGGGGCACTGGGGGGCATAAAACCCACACTCTGCCTCAGTGGGGGGTTGGGGAGTGGTGTGCATAGAAGCCCGAGTCTTGGGTGGCAGGATCAGGCTTTAGCTAGGTCTCAAGCCCAGATCAAAGACGGAGTGGAAGGAAGGCAGAGAAGTAGTGAGAAAGACAGATAAGGATGGATGGAGGTAAGGAATGCTGTTTCATGGAGAGAGGGAAGGTTAGATGGGGGAAGGGAGGGCAGGAGGGAAGAAGGCAGGGAGGAGAGAAGGTTGGATGGTGGGAGGGATGGAAAGAGAGAGGAAGGGAAGGAAGGATAAATGGAAGGATGGATGGATGAAAGAAGGGGAAAAAGGAATGAAAATGGAGGGGAGGATGGATAGAGGGAAGGAAAGATAGACAGATGAAGGAAGGAAAGGAAAGAATGAAAACAGGGAAGATGGATGGATGAAGGAAACTGAAGGAATGGATGGAGGAAGGGAAAGATGGCTGGATGGAAGGATGAAGGAAAATGGAGGGCGGGAGGGATGGACAGAGAGAAAGATGGATGGTGAAGGGAAAGACAGATGGATAGAGAGAGGAAAGGAGTAAAATAGAGAGAAGAGAAGATGGATGGAGAAAGGGAAACACATGGAAGAAGAGAGAGAAGGAAAGAGTGAAAATGCAGGGAAGATGGAGGGATGAAGGAGAATGAAGGGAGGGAGGGAGGGAAAGATGGGTGGATGAAGGGAGGGAAGGATGGAGTAAAATGGAGGGAAGGGAAGAATGATGGAGGAACAGAAAGATGGCTGTGTTGAAGAAAAATGGAGGAAGGAAGGGAGGGAAAAGGGGTGAAGATGGATGGAGGGAGGGATGAAGGAAAATGGAGGGAAGGATGGCTGGCTACATGGATAAAGGGAAAGGTGGACGGATGAAGGGAGGGAGGAAGAAGTGAAGTGGAGAAAAGCAAAGATGGATGGATGAAGGAAAATGGAGGGAGGGATGGAAAAATGGATGGATGAAGGAAAGATGGATGGCTGAAGGGAGGGAAGGTAGGAAGGAAAATGGCTGGCTGGACGGAGGACGAGATACTGGGACGAAGGAATGGATGTGCGCCGGAGAAGAGGAAAGCGGGGAGCGCCGCGGGCCGGGTGTGGGCGTGGGAAGACACCTGTGGCCGAGTTCCCCTGCGCCGCAGACTTGAGGGCCGCGCAGACGGAGGCCAGGACCAGGCTGAGCCCGAGCAGGCCCCGGCCGGGCGACGGCGGCATTTCTGCTTCAGGCCGCGCCCCCGGGCGGCGCTGACCGCTTGCGGCCGGGAGGGTGGGGAGGCCAGATAGGAGCCGCCTCCTGAGCCGCGGCGTCGGGAACGAGCACCGCCGACTGCGCCGGGCGGCCGCGGCGGGCCCCGTAGGCCCGGGCCGGGCCGAAAGCGCCTGCGCACGAAGCCCCTACCCCGCCCCTCAAGGGCGGGGCCTGGAGGTGCGCGTGGCCCGAGCGCGTGATCCAGGCCACAGTGGGCGGAGCCGCGGGCGGAGCGCAGACCCGGTGGCCGCCCAGTCCAGTGCGTCCCCGCGCTAGCCGTAGGCCCACCGACCACCTGTGCGCGTTGTTTGCAACCTGCGTGCCCTCCCTCGTGCCATGCCTGTCACCGGTAGCCCTGCTTTTCTCTCCTCTCTGTAAAGCACACTTCGCCTGAGGCCGGTCCAAACGCCACCTTCCTTCAGGGAGGCCTTTCGCTTTGAGGCCCCCTTCCTCCATCTCCAAGGACCTCCTTTCCTATTCATTTGTTCAACGAATACTAAGGACCGCAAATAAGGCCACCAGGCACTGGAGTCACGAGTCCCCTGACCCGTGGGGCTTCCAGACAGACAATGAAGAAACATTTGCACACATAGCCTGTCAGGGGGCTTGCCCAGGCCCGAGAAAGTAAAGCAGGGCAGGACGGGCGCGGCGCTCCTTCGTTTCTACGGGGCCGCCAGGCAAGGCCTCACTAGTAGAGTGATACACGGACTAAAACTTGCCGGCGGTGAGGGGAGGCAGCCAGCAGTGTACGATGTCGAAGAAGAGTGCTCCAGGCTGAGGGAGCAGCAAGTCTGAGAGTGTTGGAGGAGGGCCCAGAGGCCTTGGGGCTGCGGGGGAGGAGGAGATGAGAGGTTGTTGTTAGCTTCCCCGACTCATGGCGACCCCATGCACAAATGAATGAAAAGGTGCCTGGTCCTGCACCATCCCATGATTTTTGTTAATAGATCACCAGACCTTTCTTCTTTGTCTTAGTCTGTAAGCTCCACTGAAACCTGTTCAGCATCATAGCAACATGCAAGGCTCCACTGACAGACAGGCAGGGGCTGGGCATTAGGTGGATTGGCCAGGAACTGAACGTGGGACTCCTTCAAGATGAGAGGAAGAGGGAGGAAATGGAGAGAGGAGGAGGAGATGGGGAGGGGAAAAATGGGGGAGGAGGGAGGAAAGGAAAGCAGAAGGAAGGAGCAGGGAGGAGATGGGATGAAGGGTTAGGAGAAAGGGAGGGCATAGGAACTGGGGAAGCGGTAGGAGCTGGGGGAGGGCATGGAAAAAGTGGGGAGGAGATGGGTGGAAGGAGGGTCATAACTTCTGTGGCAAGAATTATTCACTGTCTGCCTTGGGCTGAAGGTTGGGAAGGACATCACAGTCGTCCATCCACCCAACAGGGAGCTTCTGGAGAGCTGGAGCTGTGGGCCAGGCCCTCCACCTCTGACTCTCCCTACTCGCTCTGAAACAACCTAGCTCCATGCAGACAGATAGGGACGTTTTACTGCCCCAGGCAACATGCTCAGCTAAAAGCAGTAGCTCTTTTACTCCTCACTGCCGTGCTGGGTGCTGGGTGCTACTATCATTCCCATTTTACAGATCTGGAAATGAAAGCCCAGAGAAGCTAATGGCTTGACCAAGGGCCCACAGCCAGGCTGTGGCGAGTAGGATGGCAGCAGTCAGAGCATGGGAATCTCCTGCAGTTGGCTGTCATTGCTGCCAAGCCTGCTTTGCACCAGCAGGGGGCAGCCGTTCACACTGGAACCTGGAGGGCACATCCTGGGAAAGGCCAGCCTCTGCCTTCCCTGACAGAGACCTGAAGGCTTCCCAAGTCCCTCAGGGTGGGCCAACCCCAGCCGAGCGCCCAAGCTGCCAGGCCTCAGACAGCACCCCAGCTATCCCTCCTCATCCTGACACCTGCCCTGTCCTGGTGGCTGCTCAGGCTCTCGCTCTTTCCCAGAATAAAGGCCTTAATAATTCCAGAAACCCATAGTCAACATGGACTCTAATGGATGTTTAGAAAGTTGCTCTTACCCTTATTTCCTCTTTTTCTTTCATTTGGAATACTTTCTCATAGCAGTACTTGCTGCCTGTGAGGGCCTAATTCTACTTGTCCTGATCAAAAAGCCTTTAAGTATTGCTTTAAGGGCACCAAGTTTCTCTTACAGGTGATGAGAAAATTGGGAAATAGTGGGGATGGTTGCACAATATGCAGAACATAATTAAAGTGACTGAATTGCACAAGTAAAAATAGGTGAAAGGGTGAATGTTTGGTTACATATTTCTTCACAATGAAATAATTTTAAAAGCCATTAATAAAAAATAATAATTCAATAAACCCCAGAGTTGACCAAAGAAGGGTATGAGGCAAAAGTTGCACATAGTCCTGTCTCAAAATATGCCCGTTGTTCCTTCTTGGACTTGTTTCTGGGCTTGACGATGCGGAGTGGTCCCTCGTCCCTGAGACAGGCAGGAGGGAAGGCTGGGTCTAAGTGTGGATCGAGACAGGCCTCCGCTGATGGGCTCCTTATCTTGAAGAACTGGGGGGAGGGGAAGATCATAAACTGAGAGTGGGGGATGCAGGCCTTCATGAGTGACGCAGAGTCACTGCTGGGGGTGGGGGGAAGGGGTCTACTGGGGATGTGCAAAGGGGTTGTTGTTTCTGCTTGCTTGCCTGAAAATTACAAAGGACAGCCATGCTCTTCTGAGAACATTTGAATAATAAAGAAATATATATGAAGGAAAAAGTGAAAGCCCACATATATACACGTATGTCTTTCCAGATTTTTTCTATGTATACACAAATCACACACACACACCACATATAGCTCTGTTTT